CTTTTTACGCTAAACTGAACCCAGATCAAATCCTTCCACATTCAATTTAATTAAAACGAAATTCTAATTGCTGGGGTACATGTGATAAAAATTTGGTGCCATTCAAACATAAAACGATTAATTGATATAACGGAGATAAATCATGTTGTTAAAATACTGAGCTTTCGCAATTATTCTCTTAAGATAAGACTTCATTTATTGTCATTTTTAATTGTTTTAGAATAAAAAAAAATATTATTTACTAAATACGAGTAGATAATTAAAACATATGCGTATATAATATATTATACACTAAAAACTTGGAGGAATATAAATGATCCTTGCATCTTAAATGTAGGATTTTTTTTGTTGTATTTTTTTATAAAGGTTCAAGTTGAAAGCCAGGCGAAGGCGCCGAAGCTTTAAGACCAATGGTGCTTAAATTTATTTCCTGAAGATTCCAAGTTATATATCACCTCAGCTCCTCAGGTATAAAGTGACCCAACCTTTAGGGGCTCTATAAAATTGGGATTGAAAATGTCTGTTGTGAGATAAGCCCTGTATAAGTGTTTAAGAAGTTGATTTGAAAAAAATAATCAATTTGTAAAAATTGACATTACAATAATTTTGGTATTAATCCACTAAAATTAAAAATATCAACATCCAAAACGAAAAAAAGAAGGGTTTTTACTTTAAAAAAACAACAGGATTTTTAGAATTCTAAATATACCCTTAAAAACTCCAATTTTTTTCACTATATATTTAATACCTGTGGGTTTTCGATGAAATCAACTTAAAAAAATATATATAAATTTAATATTAGTTGCTAACAGTTAAACAGTTAGATTAACTAATTTTTACAATAAATAAATAAATTTAATGTTACTATAATCACTATTATAGAATTAAAACAAACATTAACGTATGCGAAAGGCTAAAGCTTAGAGGTGGCGGAAGAGACTTTAATGTTCGTGCAGCAAAGAAGTCACGGATTTGACTCATGTGTTGAGAAGGCGCTTATCATTCATATTAAAATAATTTATAATAAAAATACAAAAAGTAAATAATATTTAAGTGAAAATTATTCATTATAAAAATAAAATCCTTACTGAATATCATTAAACTGTCTAAAAGAATAAATAAATAAAAATCTTAACAATAATATAAATTAATCGGAAAAACTCCAATTTTAAGTATCTAAATATTTTCAATGTTTGGGCTAGTTGTTTATTTATCTTTAGTGTTAAAATAGTGGTTTTATCTCAATATGAAATATAGTAAGATTATAGCATCAATCTTATAAATGAATAAAAAAGTAAAATTATCTGATTGGTTGCAAAACGGCATAGCCTGAAAATTGTAGTTCAAAGTGTTAGATATAATATTTTGAATTAAGAATTAATGCTGAATTAAATTTATACAGATAAAGAAGATTTATAAATATATTTCTGAAAATAAAAAGATTAAACTTTAAAAAATTAAATTATTAATTATTCAAGCTTTATTTTGTTTATATATAATAATAATATAAATAAAATCACAGCAACATTGGACCAGACGGGCCATCAACTAGTGTTTATATTCTTTTCAAAGATGGCGGCCCACCTGGTCAACTCCCCCACTCACCTTTGATATCTGGAAAAGCGCCTTTTTAGTCCTTATTCTGTCCTTCATTTTGCCAAAAATCTATCAGATATCTCGTTAATGTCCTCTCACTCATTCACGGCATCGGGAAAACGGAATCAAGGAAGCACAAAAACATAAACAGAACACAAGACAGACGGAGAATCGCAATTCGTACCCGCCAGGTAACACACCTTTGTTTACTAGTGGCCCGAGCTGGGAGTGGAGGAGGGGAGCAGGCTTGCCAACAGGGCGGGGGAAAATATATTTCCCGCAAAACTCATCTTCCTTGTCTGCGGTGGATGTTTATTTACATTTGTTTATTTTTATATATATAAAAAAATTAATTGATAATTCTGAAACTAACTAAATATGTTATTTTATTTATTTATATCAATCCCTGCTACTTACAAATAACAGTGAACCAGAAACCATTCGAATAATAATTATAAACATATGCAAAATTAAAATCAAATGGTTATGAAAATAATATATTTCAGTATATTATATGAATATAAAATAAAACATTATATTTATTATTGAACATAAACTACAATAAGGCTAATAGACATTAAACCTAAACATAAAAAAAGAAAGAGGTAATTTAACAAAAATACAATATTAAAAAAATAAATGAAATAATAAATAAAAACCTAGAATTAACATTTTATTTAAAGGGGAAAACAAATGCGTTTTTAGGAATTTGACAATCAGTAATAATACTGAATGGTTAGTGTCTAAGTTTATTTCCAAAATCTGGAAATCTATTTGTCAGCTTTAAGCCTCCTCCCCTCCCCCCCTCCCCCAAAAAATAGTACTAATATAAATATATGTAACCTTCTTTCGAAACAGCATTTCTTTCATCTTTACACTATGCACTTATTTTCTCTCTCCAGTCCACGTTTCTCCGTTTCTATTCTTTGACACTTTTCCGGATACGTTCGCCAAGTGTGAACTTTTTTTTAAAAGGATTTTCTGTTTTGAGTTTCTTTAGTATAATCCCTTATAATCCGAGGTCCATTTTTATTTCACTGATACGTTTTATAGTGTACATTTTTTAAATCGAAAACTAATGAGTAAAACTATATTTTCTCTTATATACATGAACTAAACCGGAAATGTCCATATCAGAAGATTTACATTTTGTGAAAAATGCTGCGTTTGGTATGCATATGTGTGATTATGATTTGTTCAACACCAATGATGCTGAATTTCGCCTAATTGTAAAAACGTTGAAAGCAAAATGTTTAATTGGATATTAGTCAAGAATTTGTGTATAGAATTTGTCAGTTATAACATAGCATTTAATTATTTTTATGATAGAATAAACTGCAACCTATTTAATAATTTAATAACAAACAAATACGTTTTAATTATTATTTAGTCGTTATTTTGCTTCTGTTTATTTTATATTTTATATGAATATAGTGTGAATATGGTCTGAGCACACTATAACTATTGTCCGATTGACAGAATATTATATTGATCAATAAATTTTTGTTTTTATATTTATTTATTCAATAATATAACTCTGAAAATTATTATAGCGAAGTAACAACACTTTTACAGTAAATTAAAAATCACAGAAAACACAAACTTACCTACTCAAAAGCGAAAAAAAAAGTATTAAAAGGAGTTGTTATTAAAGTTTCTATAAATAAGCGCAATAACTTCTAATGCAATTTTTTTTTTTTATTAAATAGGGAATATACACATAAATTAGATAGAGGGACGTGGTTAAAGTAGGCAGAACGAAGCTTATCATATTAAGCGGGTGTGTTAGTTGCACTATGTCAACAGACCACTGATAACACTTAACATGTGTCAACAGCTAATTGAATTGTTGATTTCGCATCGTGAGAAGCAGGAAATTAATTTATTTAATCAATGGATATAATATAATCATTAATAATAATAATAGTTTTAATAATTTATAAACTAATAATGAAACAGTTTTCAAAATACATTAACAAAAACCATTGAATTAAATCGCCACTTCTATCGATTAAAATTTTGTTAAATTAAAACATAATGAAATCAGATGACATAGGTGATGTTAAGATATTTTAAATGATTAAATCCCAGTATAATTACAATTAATTTTTTTATGTACTTTCGAATTCTATATACTTGCTTACTGCAAAAAAAATTTACATTAAAAAATTTGATGGTTCAAAATAATTTTGATTTATATTATAAAATCTATGGCAATGGTCGAAATTCGTTAACTTATTTGAGGAATATTTTCATAAGCTGGTATAATGTCCATAATCAATATTCAATTTGTAGTAGTCAATATAATAGAAAATACCTCACAACTGCATTATTTTAAGAATTTTTTCAAGTCAACATGAAATTGTCAACTCCCCAAAAAAATGTCAGCCGAAGTTGGGCTTCAATTCAAAATCCATCGAGAGATAGTGCGTTTATTCATATATCAAGGAAACAGCTATTGCTATGAAGATAATTATTATAAACCTTTTTCTTGTGTATTCTACCAGCCTAGTAGAACTCTTTAGGTTCAATAATTTAAGAGAAACTGTAGTTAAAAAAATAAAATACTTTTTCAGAAACGCAGGTACTCAAGATTTAGTGATTTTATTTATCATATACACTTAATTTAATTATTAAACAAATATCATATGAACAGCTGCGCCTAAGAGTAGTTGATAATAATTATCTTTGTTTCAATAGCTCACATTATATTTAATAAAATATAAACTTAAAATGGCGATTCGTCGTGTTAAAAAAAACAAAAAAAAAAACACGTTAATTTTCAAATCCCCGTTTCTCTTGAATTTTTAACTTACGGAACTCCATCGGGGCTTAAATTGAAGCTGATATGATCCTACAAAATATTTTATCAAACTTATCTTCGTAGGAAGGATTCATTTGATATTTGCAGAAGCGCACCATCGGGCAAAGAAAAAATAAAATAAAATAAGGCTTTGAATTTTGTTTGGCAACGATATGCACACTCCCAAATTTAGCAGATATCGTATTTTCGGCATTTGGAGGTGAGCAGTTTTTTGTAGACTTGAAAAAAATCCATATTCACACCGCCAATAGTTCGCTCAATTACTTTTCTTGAATGTCTTGGTAATGTGACCACGTTTCCTCAATGTTAGTTTGATAGTTGGAATAGGATGGTATATTTGCAGTCTTGTGAGCGTTGCGAAGTTCGTTCTTTGAGTGTGCTGGGCTACAAAACATAAACCAAAAACGAAGTATCGCTTGCACAATATCTGACGCCATGGGCCTGGAGTGTCGCGGTAAAATTTCGAAACCCTGAGACAGAACCTATAAATCAGATATAGTGAGCTGTTTAAAAGCCGCAGCGGAGAAAGGTCAATCCAAGTTTCACCTTTGGGCCCTGTAGTAGAGGCCATGTTTTTATTATGGGTAGTAGCAAACCGGTCCGCTCCTTCGTAGTAGTCTGTAGTAAGCGTGATCTGCGTTGCCAACACAACGGCTGTATATTCCCTACAGGAAGGGAACTTTCCCTACCCTGCCTCCCGCCAAAAGGTTCCCTCCAGGAGTTGTTGACTCTTGAGAAGAAGAGTCTTCGGCAAAATGGACAGTCGTGACAGCAACAGTTTGCCGCAAGAAACTTTCATGCAGTCTAAATTCTGCAACAATGGTCTAGATATGCAATATTCTATTAAACTTTCTTCTGATTTACAATAAATAATCTATGCATGAATTTTTATTTCTACCTTTAACGATAATGACATGTTTTATAATATGGATTACCCAAGATTGAAAAGTCAGTGAAAATAAAAAAAATTGTTTTTATATGATACCAGCCTACGTCTCTGCCCTCCCCCCCCCCAAAAAAAATCCTAGAACTAGGAGTATCAAAAAAAATAAAAGATAAGTAAGAATTAAGAAGATAAATATACATAAAAAATAATGTAAGTATATAGCAGAAAAATCTACAATATTATATGTTAGGAATGAAACATAGTTTTCTACAATAACAGTTTGTTTTTTAGTCATGTAACAAATTTTCTTATAATGAATAATACAGGTGTACTTAATATAGTCGTCATATAGCTATTTTTTATCTCATATCTAGTAATGTATTAACTGACTGAGCAGCATATTTCAGAAATGACGTGTTTAATAACAAAATAAAAATAAATAAAATATTTGTATACAAATAGAAATAAATATTTATAATAAACAAACAAATTTTATAGGATACGCATATGATACTCAAGCATTTTATTAACCTATGTCCTCTTTATTTTCACCGTCTCAAGACAAGTTTCTCGAATCATAAGAAAATGTCATTTCTTATATTTATATAATAATAGTTAACGTAATAATGAACTCTCTGTGCATTAGTTAAACTTTCACTTATTATAAAAGTTTTTTTATATTTTTATTTAATTTTATCTCAAGTTTTACTTCTTTTTCTTTTCTTTAGTTATATTTTTTCTATTGTTTTTGTGAATTGTATATATGGTATGAATGAGTCTCACACAGCTCTAATACTCAATGCCCTTAATTGAGGCAAAATGTATTATTTCTCGTATAAAATAAGATTTAAAATATATAATATATATATATATAAATTATATTCTAATGTTATTTTTCTTTTTAAAAGTATTTAATTATATCTCTTTCACTTAAAAATGTAAAGATTTTATTTTGTAAATCATTCACTTCCTTTAAAAAAAAAATTCATGTTTATATTTAACTACATTCTAAATACGTATTGAATTGAATAAGTTATGCTTATTGAAGTTAAAATTAAGTTTGAATATTAATAAATTACCACTGTAGATAAATAAGAAAAAATATATACTAAAAAATAAAAATATAACATAATTAACAAAAACTCTTCTCAAGATATGTATGACAAGCGATCTTTTATTTCGTAGTGCTTTCCTACTTCCACTTATTTTTTCTCGTTTTGTCTCTACTGTATTTGTGCGATGATAAATATTTTTCATTTCCTTCTAATGGTTGCATTGAGGATTTTAATAGCTTAAGCCATCCCGAGCCAACACGAATACTTTTATAACAAAAATAAATTTAAATAGGTTCAAAAAGTTTCGTTGTTAGTATCAACGTTACAAGTTACAAACGAAAAAAAAGCCTCTCCTTTCATAGTATAAATTAATCGTATTATGAAAATTATTTATAAACAATGGAACTACATGAATAATAATATAAAAAAAAAAAATTCTAGATTCAATTTTTATAAAAGTCTTTCTATTTCTATATCTGAGCTTGAAGGGTCAACGCGTTGCAGCCTCTGGCGGATATAATTGTAACACTTCCTAGTCTCATAGAAACATTTCCTCTGAACAAAGCAGTTATCCATAGTTTATTTTTGACGGGGTCGCCTGCAGTTATTATTAAACATTTATATATATATATATTTTTTTTGTAAGCAAGGGTGTCTGTATGTTTTCTGGTGCCCTAAACGACAAAAAAAATAAAAAAATAAAAAAATAAAAAATAAAATAAAATAAACGCAATGTTTGTACTCTAGTACTAGTTCCCGGTCTTCTGATTTATACATAAGGGCCCACCGAACCGCTGCTCTCATTATCCGATCCTCATCCCTTTGAAACTCAATCCCTTCTCACATTCATCTAATACCCTTCCTACCTTTAAATCCCCGCCTGTTCAATCATTTCTTATCCAGCCAGTCCCCGTGAAATTATAAATAGATACTAATAGAAAGATGTATATAAATTATTAGTTCGTTCTTTATTATTTTTACTTCATCTTTTTTTTTTCTTCAATTTTTTATTATTAACTGATTAAAATTAGAAAGTAACTTATAATTTTTCATTTTTTTACTATGACTGTTTAATTACTCTGTATTTTTATTTATGTATCTCTGAGGCTCCTTAGCCCATATTTATGTCTTTCTGTATTATTCTAAAATACTCGTCCCAGAATAAATAAAGTATTATTATTATTAAACATATTAACCGCAAAACATAATAAACTCTTCGTAACGCCATCAAGGATCCAGATACTACCGAAAAATATTCTTGCTCATTGAAATTTAGTTGTTAAACCATTATGAATGGGATAATAATTTATCAAGAGCGTGACTTACTAAGAAATTTACTGCTCGAACCGAACAATGATTTTGGCAAGGTTAATCTATGCTAATGATATGCAAAATGTCAAGGAGTTAAGGGGTTACAAGCAACAACTCACAAGATAATCTTTAAGTCACAAACTTAGTATCGGAGCTAAGTGGATTACGATACAATAATAATATTTAATACAATAATAGTCCCATAATGTTCAGCTTCTATTTTTTATTTATAAAATCATTAAAGCGGAAAACAATGATATACACAATGTACACTGTGTGTCATCATTGTGATTATTCTGAGAGAACTTGATTATCAGAATATATATATATATATACATATATGTATATATATATATATATATATATATATATATATATATATATATATATATTCATTTTGGTTTATGTTAAATTATTTTTTTAAAATTATTTATTATTTTTACATTTATTTATTTTTCCTCTTTAGATTTAAATACGAACCATTAATACCATAATATTTTCCTAACCTAATTGATCATTCACAATAATTAATTGTTTTTAAATTATATTTTTATTAAAGAAATATTAATGAGTTTACTAACTTTGATAATATGTTTTGCTCATTCCATGTGTGGGAAAAACCACTACAAAACACTTTATTAAAAATAAATTATATAATTTGAGAAAACATAGATTTAACATGAAACTAAACAATAAAGAAATGAATTCATAGTTAGTAGATGTGCAAATAAAACGAAATAGAGGGAGGGGTTAAAAAAATAAATTTTCAAATCTTTTTAACAAGAAATGCAATTAGTAGTCTAGTAGGGCTCGATTTCCTCAAAATATCTCTACATCACTTTTTTAAAATTTAAAAAATATATATATTTTTTATGACATACGAATCATATACGTTAGAAAAAAAAACAGAGTTTAATAAATGATACAATATAAACCTAAAGTTTTTTTTTTAAAAACGTGTTAAATAAATAGTATATCAATTTCTGTCAATATAATTTCTTAAAAGCTCATCGTGAAAACAAACAATAGAGTCCAGTCCACTAAAGAAGACAGAGTGGAAAATCCGAATTTCATTCATGCAACACTAGCGGATCTAGGATTTAATTTTGGAGAGAGGGGCCTCAGCCCGAAAGATTTTTGATAATATATATATATTTATAATATATATATAGAAATTGATATATATATATATATATATATAACGATAATTAACTTTAAAAAAAAAGAGAGAAATTAACTACCTGTATTAAATAGTATTTGAAGTATATAAAAGTCCTATTAAATGTAATTAAACGAACAATAATACTTTAAGAGATAGTTTAAATATTTTTTTCTGTAAAACATGGTTATATTTTACCATTTGGGAGGAGGAGGCTTCAGCCCGAAAGCTCCCCCCTCCACCTCCCGTAGATCCGCCTGTGCCGCGCAGTACGGAAAATCTGAGCTTTGCTGTGTAATCAAAAAATCTTATAAATCATTTAAAGTTTTTAGTATAACTAAAATATTTTATAATTTTGCTATTCATTACCATAAAGATTCTTTACAACTAACTATGATAACAACCTGTAGAAATTTCACTGAATCAAGTACAATAGTAAGAAAAAAAAAAACGAAAAATATTTTGAGACGATTATAGCGACAATATTCTAAAAATATTATATAAAAAAACTTGATGAAAAAAATATTAAACTAAGGCTAAGTAAATGTAGACCAGAGTGAAATGCACATCTCACATCAACATCTGAAACATACATAAGGCTTTGTTTTAGAATATGATACTTTTTGTAATAAAAATAACTGCAATATTTGTATCTTCCTTGCTGCTTTCTGTTCTCATTAATTATTTGAAAAATTCAATGGTCTTTCAAAATTTAACTATTCTCTGTATTTCATTAGTGGCACAATTATAAACGAATAGAAAGATAACACATCTCACGCCAAGATGTTGGGAAAAGGATTCCTAGCCGTTGTTAGGATTCAATTCTCATCAGGATCAGTTTATATTTATTCGCTGTTTTCTGAAATTGAATTATTGATTTTTTATCAGAGTAATTAAACATCAAGGTAAGGGAGGATTGTAACATTGAAGGATTGTAAAAATAACGGTTCCAGCAAGTTGTTTAAAATACACCTTAGAACAATACATATAATAATAAAAATATACTTTATCATACAAAAATCTTCTATAAGTCATTTTACCAAAACGTTTAGGAGACGGGCGTGCCTCGAAAAAATAGAACAATCCGTGACAACCAGAGGATTGCCTAACAGTCGGGGAATTTTTCTGAATTCACGATTGTCAACGACAGAAAGTTAATGACTAACATCGGGGCACCAATGTCAACAGGAGTCTTCGGCAATGAGTCAAGACTTTGGAAGGTTGTTAAAAAGGAAGAGAAAACGGAAGTTCTTGGATTTTCTCTATTAGGCACCTTGTGATTCACTAAACACTTTTACTTTTTACATTCCGTTTTGTTGACTAATATTTTGGTCAGCTGTTACCAAATCTACAATATATATATAACACGATAATAGAGATTTATTTTGCGGCTCTCAAGAACGATAGATTTTGATGAATGAGGTGACAAACGAAAGGGAATCGTAAGAAGAAATGGGAAATGTATATTTCAAAAGTAAAAATCTTACTATTATACAACTTAAATTAAAATCATTGAAAAGACTGAGAGGTTTGAATAGTTGATGAAACAAGACTCGGTAAATTGTATTTTAAAGATTTTGAAGTCGACATCAAGACATGTTATAGTTTCAATGAAACTAAAAGACCCTCAGTTTTAAAGTCCTAAAATGTATCTTTTTTTCAGATAAATGGTAATTCTTGCCGAAAGCGTCATGGGGGCCTTTATGGTTGCCATGGGAGTTTAGGTTTTAAAAATTAAAACGTTGCTATTTATTAAAGTCTTCGACGAACTAAAAATCTTTTGGAAAGATAAATGAAAGAAAATAGCTCTTTGATCACTTGGACAATTCGGATAATATCTTTACGTTGGAGGTAAAGAAAACCATGTATATGTATGTGTTCAGGGGAGTTCATGTTCCATAACTTCGAACTATAAAAATTTGTTTCTTAGTTTACGAAATCTATGTCACCGAGGTAAAGGACACCATGTCATATTATTACCACTTACCTATATATGAAATATACAGTAAAGGAAAGTATTGCGATCGTGAAAATTTTCGAATCTCAGTTATCAACGGAAACACGTTTTGAGGTTCTCTGGGTCCAAATAACCAAGTCTCGAAAAATGGTCTGCGTGTGTGTGTTAACAGTATAGCTCAAAAACGAAAAGTTGTACGAAAGTGAAATACCATATTTAAAATTTTTATATGCTAGGGATGTAACAGCAAGTTTTTCGTCAAAATTGGCTAACAAGAAGTGGCACTTTATATAAAGGATTAAACACATTTTTACGATTTTCACGAAAACGGCTCTAACGATTTGGATTAAATTCGGCATATCAGTGTAAAATTAAGCAGTTTTAAATAAAATGTAGTTCTTATTCCGATTAATGTTCTATAGTAGGACTTAAATGGCTAATTTTCAATATTAGCTTCCCCTAAAGTACCTTTAATTTTTTTTATTTGAATAAAATGACCATTTCACATTAATCTCTAATATAAAAGATAGTTAAATATAATATGTGAAATAATTTGATAATTAACTAAAAGAGAAATGAGAGAACGTAACGGAGAATAGTTGTAATTTAGGAACCAAAGGAATACGAGCGCTCCGAAAGATTAGAACACGTTTCTACACGTAACGTGAGCTTAATATAACACGGACTCCGACAATAATATATAAATATACATATGTAGATAGATGTATAGGGAACCCTTGCAAAACAAATAAATTTCTATCTATCTACATGTGTGGTTTTCATAAATGCTATTGTTATACTCAGAATAATTGAATATATATATACTAGTTTTATTTATATGAAAATGCCTAGAACAACTATGCTTTCTTCACAAAACAGTGCTTCTTCCACACTTGAGAAGATGTAACCTTTCAAAAGCTCCCCTCTTATCGGACTTATTACCAGGAGTCCATTAGGAGACAGAGTGGACGTGGTTTTGGACTTGGTCTTTTTCTATCCCATAAGCGGCACGAGGCTATCTGCCCCTGGGTCACGACCGGAGAGAGTACGTCGCAGGAGCAGAGCTAGCCCGGCTGGAAGAGTTCATTTCTGCCTGGAATGGATTTATTCCTGGATCGACACCTCTTTTGGATATGAGATATTGGTCAGTCATATACACTGGAAATACTAAAAAAATATTACGAGGCTCGTTATAGCCAAATTCGACTCGTAGTTCTAGTAACAATATCCGATTAGTTTTAAAATAAGATTTTTTTTTTCGTTACACCACAATATAGAACAAAAAATAGTTCAAGTAACTGAGAACTGAGTGAATTGACGACCTTATCCTTGTAATTTAGTACCTACAACAAAGTAGAGTAGCAACTAGTACTTATTTATCTGTGTAACACATTTTTTCTATGAACACATTACCATATATATATTTTTTTTTTTAAGCTAAATTTTTTTGTTTGATAAATAATAATTTTACTTAACTTAAACCAAGCTTTTTCTGTGAGCCCAATAATTATTATACGCATTAACATTTATGTTATAAGATATGTCTTATAATAAACACACACCTATATATAATAAACACACCTATATATATATATATATATATATGTATATATATATATATATATATATATATATATATATATATATATATATATATATGTATATAGAATAGAATAATCAACTTTATTTCTGGGACAAAGTCCCTTAAGAATAATAATATTGATCATTAAAATTAACATTAAATCTGGTCAAAACACATATTACAATAAAAAAATACCTAAAACACAAGTAATAAGAGATGTATTTACATAGCTATAAAAATATATTAAAGAAAAAAGATGAGCAATATGGTCACAATACTGCAAAATATCTGCTACAAACAATAAAGCAAGAAATAACAAAATTAAATTGGAAAAGAACGATCACTTCTGTACGGAAACCATTGCAGTTATGAAAAAAAAATTAAGATACATATTTACAATAAATAATTTTCATGTGCTCCTTAATATATTCAAAGGAATACTTATAACTGTATTGTAAAAATTAGAAACGTCTTATGATCTATATACTAAGACGTAGATTAATAGAAGAAACAAGAAAAAGAAGATAATACACATATAGAGGAGTGCATTCAATATTAGTAAAAAATTAAATACATCTCAAAAGACTTAAAATCTTATGAATAGAAAAAAAACAATATACAAAACAAAACAAAAAAAAACAAAACAATTGTTTGTGAAAACAGTCTTTAATTTATACCTAGCTAAATTATCAGTTATTTAAAATTGTTTGAGATCCTTAGCTTTCTCTTTATAATTGTTGGTTTCATAGAAAAAATTAGGTGTAAGTTAAATTTAAAAAATCGTAGTCGTTCAAAACATAGAATTCGATCTAAAGATGTGTTAAATACCAGTAACTTCCAAGAAATGATATAATTATATTTTATTTTTAATAAACGAAGCAGGGGTTGAAACTTTTTACGAAAAAAGAGAGAGAGAGAGAGAGAGAGAATCACTTTATTATCATAAAATGGTGCTGCCTAATTACATTGGGTTGCTAAAAACACAGCATACTTATTAATATATATATATATATATATATATATATATATATATATACACGTATTATTATTATTGTTATTTTTTTTTGTATGTCCTTTTTTATTTATTTTTTTAAATATTTAATTTCCCTTTTTCTTACTTCTCTCTGTTTATCTATCTTTTTTTTTTTTTTCCATTTTCCATTAAATAAATACATAAATTAAAACTCCCAGTCTAGCATTGCACGTGGTGGTGAATGATTCCCAGGGAGTCGAGGACTATATTTTCAGCCAACCTTCTGAGGAACTTTTTTGTAATAAGTTTACGGTAAAAGTTAAACTTTTTTTTCTAATTCTTAAATTAATCAAATTCTAATTCTGAATTTTTTCAAGTTCTTAAAAAAAATCCGTTAAATGAAAAATAAAAGAGTAATTGGGCTACCATTAGAGTTATAATCTGTTTTAAATGAATTACACATGATTCTAATGCGTCGTTTGTTTGAGTAGTTAAAATAAAAGTCATTTCTTAGATCGCCTTTTTAGCAATCGGCAGAACTTTTAAATACGTTTTTTTAAAAAATAAAAGTGCCGTAAAATCTTCTATTGAAAAGTTGCTTGGAAAAAAGTTCTAGATCCAAAAGAACTAAAAAAACTATCGACAGTAAAAGTTTCAGTAATACCAAAACTCTCGAGAAATTAAAGATTTTTTTTTTCTTTTTCAAGCCTCTAAACGAAAGACATTTCTTTTAAGAAAATACCCAAAAATAGACTACGTAATTCTCTGTTATCTGTGAAAAAATATTTTTCTATGAGCACATTTTTTTTTTTTTTGCTAATATTTTTTGCTTCTAATAAACAACTAAATAATATCAATTTTTCTTTCATTATTTCTATAACTTGAGTGCAAATCCAAAATTATTTGAGACACAGAATTTTTATTTATTTTTTTCTATATCATGAGAATCCTTGGATTCCAAAGAAAGGACTATTTCATATAGCTCTTGTTCTCCTCAAAGCAAAGAATTTTCTGTGGATGTATCTTTTTCTTTTTTTTTTTTTAATAGTTACACCGACATGAGGACGGCTTGAGGAATGCAACCGTTCGGTAATCAAACTGTGATTACATCTTCAACAAAGAAACCATCTTCTGTAAGGCTGGTTAAGGTGGAATGCTGCAGTGATTCCTGTAATGACTGGGGAAGAGAGAGAAACGTCTGATATTTTCATGAAGTCAACCATTACTCTTTTAAAGCCTTCTGGCGATGTTTTGGAATCAGAAAATATATTTTATTTTATAATTCATCAGGTATCTTATCTTTTAAAAAAATTCTGTTTTTCCAGTACGATTCCAGGTTGTCTGAAAATACAGAAACGCTGGACACCTTACGCATTTCAGCCGTTGGGCATCTACTAGTCATACACATAGCTATTCCTACAGAATTTATGGAATATTATTATTACAATATTACTTCGAAACGAAAGGTTATTTTTTTTCCAGACAAAATTCGGATTCAAATCATATTTTATTAATACCGAAAGCTATGTATTTAATTTTTTTTCTTTTCTCACAGTTAAAACAAACTTTGCCTCTTAATAAAGGTATGGAATACCAAAACATTTTCGGATGACAATGCAGCTCTAGTGTTTCAGGCGATCTCGGAACTTGTGATTACTCTTGGTACATTCTGGGATGATGACAATTTCATGGACATTAGAGGTGAGGTAAGTGTGATGTTTTGAGGGTATTTACCTCACTGAGAACTTTTACTGACGAAAAGTCATTTTCGACGCATTTAAAATAAGTACAGGTCTATTACTCTGCTGTTGTAATATAGTTGAAAAAATATATATAGAGGAATTATTTCTTTTTAATTATTCATAGCTATGTTCGTGAAATACATATTATCTACCACAAAATTAATCACCTTAATTTTTAAAATTACTTCTAAGTTTCTACCATATATTAAGAATGACATATTGATACACCACTTCGTCGACGTTTCGAATTTTCAGAACGAATTTTATATTTTAGATAACAAGAGTAACAATTAGGACCAGAAAAAAAAATCGTTCAAAACATAGAATAAAATCTGAAAATGTGTTAAAACCAGAAACATCCAAGACATCATGTAACAATATTTTATGAAGAGAAGGATGGTTGGGGTGATCAGTCAGAAATAAAAATGCAAAATAAATAATAATATTTTGCATTTAGTTTCGACCTGAAGTTAAGGCCTTCATCAGGGCTAAGAAAAGAACCAGATAACAAGGTATGAGAAAGATAAACAGTGTAGGTAAAAAATAAAGTAAAATGAAGTGGGTAGAATAACGACAATAACAAGAAATAAGAAATAAATAATAATAACCGTTACAAAGTAAACATAATAATAAAATAATGAAGTAAACATAATCAAAATAAGGTGACAGAGGTACTGAAATGGTAATCTTAGAATAAAATGTAAAATAGATAAAAGGAATATGAAGTTATATAATAAAGAAAAATAAATAGTAAAATTAAGATATTTTAAATATAATATCTTCTAATAGAATTCTTTTGTCAGCCCTGATTAAGGCCTGAAATTCTGGCCGAAACGTCGGCAAATGTTAAAGTAAATATTATTACTTATTTTGTCTTTTTATTTCTGACTGATCACCCCAATCATCCTTCTATTCATTATTCACGACAGTCAACCATCAATCCACAATTAACAATATTTTATTTTCAATAAACTAAAGAAACCTGAAAGATATTTCTATTACGAAAATGCCCAATATTAGATAAATAATTCTTCCTTATCAACTATAATCACTTTATTTTTATGATGTAATATAATAAACTCCCAGTATATTTTAAAACATATATTCCACAATACATTTTTCTTATCAATATTATTACATCTGTTTTCTTGTTGTTGTTTTTTTTTTTTTTTTTTGTATTTTTAGGTAACTCCGTTACATTTATATTTGTTTTAAATTTCTTTCTTTCTATCTTTGAAATTAATTAAAAATTAAAATTTCAGATATAATTAAGATGAATATTAATATTTAAAGTTAGTAAAGTTTATTACATTTTCTTATTTATATTTTTATCTACACGTTTCAATGATAGACTAATTGTATAGAAATAAGATTTCAACGGAATAAATTTAAGAAACATTTTAAAGCAGAAATTCTAACGATTTTGTTATCTTAATTGGTTTTTTCTGTGACACATTGTAATATTTATCAATAAAATGTTTCTAAAAAATTTTTAAATTTTAAATGTGAACGAATTAGTGTTCTCGATCAATCTCAGCTGGCTTTAGTACCAGTGATGCGGTTGAGAGAGTAGCGCAGGATTCTCGTGGAGTTTCCTCGCCTGATTGTAATAGTGTATATAGATGCTTGTGTTTTTTGCTTAGTTTTAATTTTCTTATTTTTAGGTGATTTTATTTTATTTATTGTATATACTTTTTGATTATTATTTATTGTTATTTTGCTTCAATTTATTTTATATTTTTTGTACATATAGTGTGAATGTTAACCTACATCACTATAACTAATGTCTAAGTGACAGATTGTTGTAATGCTCAATAAATAAATTTAAAAAAAATATATTTATGTATACAAAAGTTAAAAAACAGTATGTACTTAGAGTAATGGAAGTACAGCCAACAGTCGATGTATCTTTTTTGTAATAACGATGTAATAAGTGTTTGGTCAGCATAATGCTTCGACGATTTTGGAAAATGTTGACGTGTTAATTTTTTAACCAGTGCTTTAGTCTCAAGGCTTTTTGTTTGGGAACTCCCATAACAATTTTTTTTGCGAACAATTTTTAAAAGCATGCTTTCAATCATTAATAAAGTCATTATGACAAGTATGAAACAATAGAACAGAGAATTCGATTTGGTATGAGGATTTTAACAAGTTGTCTAGGCGATGTCTAATGTAGAAAAATAGGGCAGGGATGTCGTGGGTTTAACAGAAGTATGATGTTCATAGTAGAAAATAGCTGAAGTTGTCTGGTCGGAATAATATGCCGGAAAATCGGGAAGATTGGGCCTTAAGTTTAGTTTTCCTATTGTTCTGTAACTGCATAAATTACATTACATTGGCGGTGGTAAGTGGCGAAGATTACATCGCTCGCCGAGAACCGCAAATAGTGGTTGAGGCACGACTGCCTGATTGTCAATGAAGCGCTGTGGCTCTCTGTAATTGAGGAATGATTGGACGGAACTGATCGTTAATGGGAGGATCACGGATTGATGGCAATCCGGACATTTTAAAATTAAATACTATAAGGTGGATTCGACAGCACGACTGGAACTTGAACAAATAAGTAAACTAACGACAGAAAGAAGGGATAGTAAGGAAGACACCACACTTATATTTCTAAGAATTATTTTTTTCCTATCATGTTATTATTTTTAAGAATTATTTTTCCCTAACAAATTGGCAATAAGAATAATTATAATCACAGAATATATGAAAATTACAGTTATTTATTTATCAACCCTGCCGTGCCTAGTAGGCAATACGGGTGTCTGCAATAGTAAGATGTTAGGCAGGTCAGCTCAACATCTCACTGCTGCAAATGAATCTCGTTCTTCTGCTCTTTCTTCATTTTTCCTCTTTCTTCATGGGTGCTTTCCTCATCTGTTTCACGACAATGGTATAGTACCTCTTCCTCCTCTTCTTAAATTAAAATGGGCTGGCCCCACCGCGACTTTCCACCCGTACACAAAATCTTTGTAGTACGGGTAGTTTTCCGCAGTGACTAACTGAGGAAAATCGTTCTCTGTGAGAATGTAGAGACCGGTTTCCCTCAGTAACTTAGCCCTTAGTTCTTCAAAGGCGGTGCAGTCCACTATGATGTGCTCAGCAGTCTCCGGAACACCGCAGCTAGGGCATAGGGGGTTGATGTCCATCCCATGGCAATGAAGCTTTGCTCGAAAGCCCCCATGGCCTGTGAGAAATTGCGAGATCCAATAGTCTGGGACGATCCACCTTGCTTCTAAACGTGACCGGACGGTGGGGAAGTACTTCCTCAAGGTAGATCCTTTGGGGGTTATCACCCATCGCCGGTTCCATTCCTCCAATGTGTCGTCCCGTATAATGTTTTTCCATTTGCAAGGATTCTCGTCAATTCTCACCTTAAGATGTTCCGGTAGACCTGCTGAGCCGTTTTTCTTAAACATGTGCCTCATCATATCTTCTCGCAGGAGAAGGTCGAGAGGTACCCCTCCTGCTAATACCTGCACCGCCTCATGGGATACGCTTCGATACGACCTGGTGACCCGCAGCAATGCCGTTCGCTGTATTGTCGCCAACTTACTCTTCTGTCGGTGCGAGAGGTTCTGGTTCCAGGCGGGAGACGCATACCTCATGATACCCAGAATCACTCCCTTATAAATTGCTAAGGTTGCTGGGTATCTGAGGCCCCAGAAAGCGCCCCCAACCCGACTGAGACTGTTCAAAGATAGGGCCACCCTGTTTTTAAGATAGTCCAAGTGAGGGGTAACGCTGAATTTTTTCCCAAACTTTACGCCTAGATAAGTGACCACCTCACTTGGACGTATTCTCGAACCTTGAACCGTTATGTTAATAGGGTGTGCCCTGTCAGTTTTCCCTTTCATGACAATTGTATGAGTCTTTGAAGCGGCCATTGATAACTTTTTCCTCTCGCACCATTCTCCGACCAAGTTGGCGCATCGTTCCGCTTCTTGTCTTAAGCCGGCTATGCTATTGGAGGCCACCACTACTGCCAAATCGTCAACGTATCCAGTGGCAGGGAACCGCTGTTCTTCTAACACTCCCAATAGCTCATCAAAAACGAGCTTCCATAAAGCTGGACCAAGTACCGATCCTTGAGGACATCCCCTCTCTATGAAAGCTTCAGTCTCATAAGAACTGCCACGAACCTTAACACGTCTATCCTGTAAGTAGCTTCTTATCAAGGCATATAAGTTACTGGGAGCATCATATTTCTGCAGCTGCTGGAGCACAAGAGGCCACCAGACGCTGTCGAAGGCGGAGGATATGTCGAATAGCATCAACATGACATACCGCTCCGTCCTCAGTTCAACGTCTTCACGTACTCTCAGCAGGGCATCAGCGGTTCCCTTCCCCTTAGTGGAGCCGTATTGCCGTGGATGACTTGCTCTGGCAAGAACTGGTGCTAGACTGGTCATGATAAGGTTCTCCAGGACCTTGCTCATCACAGGGAGGAGGCATATTGGTCTATAGGACTTGGGGAGCTGTTTATCCCTATTCCCTCCCTTGTAGAGGAGTCTCAAATCGGCGATCTTCCAGGTTTTGGGAAAGTATCCCCTCTCCAGACAATCATTATATATTCCCAAAAGTCTCTCATCAATGTAGGGAATACTACTCTTTAGGATCGCCGCATCTATAGCATCGAGTCCTGGAGCACGACCGATTTTCTGCTTATCAACAGCAATACGGAGATCATATATGTCCCATCGTGGGCACAAGTCCGTATCCGGTGGGTATGCCGTGGTGCGTCTCACGAAGTTTTCCTCATCGCTGTCTTGAGACGGATCATCCCTGGGGTACGTCCTCGCAATGAAGATTTCGGCTGCCTCCTCGAAGTTGGTTGCCTGAACGTCTCCGTGCTTGAGGGCTGCCAATGTTTGCTGCGTACTAAACTTCCCCATGGCTACCCTATAAGGAATACCCCAGGGATTCTTCGTGGACTCTTCAACAATGAACTCATCCCAGGA